TCGTAAACTGTCACTGTTTGTTTAGTAATTTCACCAATTGTAAAATAAAACCGAAACTGTGATTCAATTAAATTTAAACAAACCCAAATATATTCTCATAAGCCTCAAAGGTTATGATGCACATTGTCATTTTTTACATACAATAATTTGAAAGCTCGAGTTAAACTAAACTAGACCTGTTGCTGAGTCTCAGTAAAAACATAACTAGTTGCAATAACATGACAACTGCAAAGTTAGTCAGATTTGAGTAATATCTCAGTTTGGTGAAAATGTTTTAACACGTGGCTTTTTTATGAAGAATTTAACGTGGGAATACTTTGTCAGTAAATACTGGTCAGACTTTTGTCTGTACTTCATAAGAGTGTGTGAACCTATTTTAGAATGTGGCTTAGCATGTATACAAGTTATTTAGCATTTACCAAAACGGTGAATTAGTCGAAATTGGTTCAGAAAAATGTACTTGTAAATAGTAACAGATTTTGTTCTGCAGTTTACTAAGTGTATACCGGTATCGACTCTCAGACGGAAGCTTTCTTTTACTTGTGGGCCCTATCTTACTTGACTTAGATGTAAATCATCACTAGGCTATGTTTAAACATTTTGACTTCGATAAGCCTACAATCAAGTGCACTTACTATACAGTACTTTTAATACTTTTTAACACTTTTCAAATTTTAAGCCAAGTATGAATGGAATGCGTGTATGATGAGGGGCGCGATCTTGTAGTCTTGTTAGTGACTAAGGCCGACTTATTCCTTAGACACAGATTTTAATTAATAGCCCATACAGCTAATGGCAACTAGGAGACCTACAGTTTATTGTGGAATCCGAACCACATTTTTGCCTTGGTATAAATGGATTGGTCTAATTTTTAGGATAGTACAGTGGATGGTCACAGTATTCACTCGTGTGGACGTTAATCCACACCAGGGAGTATCGCATCCACAATGCATGCCTATAAATATTCACAATTCTTAACCTCCTAGTTATTCTTAACCTCCTAGTCAGTCCTTAGTTAACTTGTAGCTGGATTACAGGACGACGCCCATCCCAGTTGAAGATTTTACTGTGTTGCGTCTGAACTAATTTTCACACCAATACTGTATTTTCATTTATCTCACGTATAGCCTACACTGCGGTTGCGTGTGTAAGGGATAGCGGATTCCATTGCTTGTTGCATACATGGGGTGTTTGTCTATGAACAATATTTGCAGACAGTAGTATCTGCAGAGTCAATGACGATGATTAGTTGAATGTATGTTATTACCGTGATTCACTTTTGTGTACCAACCCTCTCACTATGGTCCAATCGAATTAGCTTACACACAAACAGACGGGGTTGTTATAATAACGGAGGGTTCACTGTCAAATGTAATAATTAATTCTCTTAATTTTGCAAATCATGTATGGTTGTGATCAATTAATGTAGGCCTACTATTTTTTATTGCATTAACTTTTCATACACGAATAAAGTTGTATGTATGAAGTTATTTTACTTAATTTAGAGTTATGAAAATATTGCGTTGGCTCTAACTGATAAAATACACTCCTTCGACAGGTATATTTTGTATATATTGTGTGTTGTTATCTAAAACGTATTTAGAAACAACTAAAACCTTTTACTAGGCATAAATAGATAAATTGAGAATTAATTTCAATTTATCACAACATTTGAAACGGAAGAATGATGGATTATACTGTAAAATTAAAGCGAGGATATATATGTACAAGCTAGATACAGGGTGGCTGGTCATCAGTGTTACAAGGATTTTTGCTGTAAGTACAATGTAAATAAAGTGGGATGATGCATATACGAGGTTCCAAGTATGAAATTTTACTTCCTAAAGAACTATTTTATTTGTTTTAAAATAACGATGTTTTAAACACAATACAGCAATTTCTCAATCAACTGCAAACTGATTTGAGTGGAAGATGCTTCATTTTCGTGTTCTACATTACATTTTGAATATGAACAATTGAAAATGATAGATGATCAATAGTAAAAAGATCATTATAAATAGTTCCAAATATTAAGGTCTATGATAACAATTTGAAAAACATTGGTCAATGCACTTTTCTAAATCCTGTATACAAGAAGGTAGCAAAATATGTAACAAAGAACTGGGCCATTTTATAAGCTTTCCAACCATATGCTATAGGTCTACTATTGAGGTTTGGATCTTATTTTGTTTGTTTTATTGGTCTGAATACTAGAAAACACCGGGACCTTTTTTACTGTTTTTAATGATCAAACTGAAACATAAATACATATTTTGGCAAATACCTACCAACAAAATTTTAACAAAAATGTTTTTAAATCGTTTACCTATATTAAAGTAAAAATAATTATCATAAATTGAATGGCAGTAATACTTATTTTATTAGAATTGCAAATGATTCAGCAAAGGTAATGGTTTTCTTTTAATTGGACTCAATATAAAAAAAAGATTTTATTATGCAAGGACTTTACGAATGTGTAATAACTGGTTAAATGAAAGCAAAGTATGTACGTTCATTTATTACAAAAAAAAAAAACAATCCATGAAATTACAGTGTGATTATACCGTTATCGTTTAGAACAAACACACTCTATTTCATTTTATTTTCAAATTGCCCCCCATTTTCCCGAACACAGGATCTTGCTCTTTTCCGAAAGGCAAGCACAGTAACCTTATGAGACAATTCATCCCTCACTTAATATACGGTCGTGCAGATCAACTTTGTCGAGAACAACCGTCTTGTACACCAGGCTCTTCGTGTACCCGCAAACACTAAAGTCCAACGGTTTGAGATCCGGAGATCTGGGTGGCCAAGCAACAGTCTCTCCTCGTCCAGTCCAAATAGGATAGTTTTGAGTCAACCACTTCCTTACATTGTTGGAAAAGTGAGGTGGTGCACCGTCGTGCTGAAAGATTAAGTCTTCCTTTTGTTGTTGAGTGAGTTGATCAACGTGTTTTCTACACCCCTTGTTTTGGAGTCTTCAAACCACTAAGCGAACATAAGCAGAACTAAACCTCAATAGTGTATCATATAGTTTGAAAGCTTATATAATGGGACAGTTTTCAACATATTTTGCTACCTTCACTATTTTGCAAACCTTTACATTTGCTGAATCATTTGCAACTCTAATAAAAATAGTATAAATATAATTAAAATTTTAATTTTTTATCTCAATATGGTAAACAATTTCAAAACAGAGATATATTAAGATATTATAACATAGATAGTATGCATGTATTTGGCAAGATTTGTTTTTTTTTTCAGTTTAAAAAGTAAAAACGTAAAAACTGTAAAAAATTTGTTTTTTAGTATTTAAACCACTAAACAAACAAAAGCAGATCTATACCTCAATAGCGTAGCATATGGTTAGAAAGCATATAAAATGGCACAGTCTTTAACATATTTTGCTGCCTTCTTGTATACAGGGTGTAGAAAAGTGCAATAGATCAATGTTTTTATAATTTTTATCATATACTTTAATTTTAATCTTCGGAACTATTTACAATGGAGTTTTTACTATTGATTCGCCATAATTTTCGATTATTCTTATTCAAAACTTAATGTAGAACATGAAAATGACATCCTTCACTCAAATCAGTTTGAAGGTAATTGATAAATTGCTGTATTGTGTTTAAAAACATCGTTATTATTGAAAGAATTAAAATAAGTATTTGAGGAGCCTATTTTTGACCTTGGAACCTCTTATATGCATTATCACACTTCATTTACTTTGAGCAAAAGACATTTTGTAACACTTATGACCAGCCACCCTGTATATTTTAAACTTGTATCTATTGAAAGCTAGAGAAGTAAGCCAAGACAGCTATTGTCGTTCAAGATGATAAATAATAAGCTTGAATTTCTTAATATTGGATTGTTAAGGAAGACGATAAAAGGCATTCCGAATGGGAGTTTTGACCACGGATATTAGAACAGAAAACAGCATGGATCATAGACACAAACAAATAACATCACTGGCCCGAGTATATACTAATAACCGAATCATCTGGTACGGTTTTACATTGTGGCAGTCGTAGGATATATTCATTTTAATGATAACGTCATTTGTTTATTTGTATGATACTTACCGATTTCTATACCATCCCGTTTCACAACGCTTGGTTACTAAATTGATTAATTAATCAAACTCTCATAGTTAACGTATCAATTCTATTTTATTAACTCACTAAAAATCTCTCTTTGGTATGTTTACTTTGTTTAATTGATTTTTAAACAAGCCAATATTGACACATTCAGAGAATAAAACAATTGTATTAATAAATTTCCATATAACGTTACTCAAGTCAATAATCACTAAACTGAAAACACAGCTTTGCAATCAACAAACATTCATCAGATAATATTTGTTTAAACTTGAACACAAATTGTATAGATTGATTTGTAGGTAATAATTCTACCTTGGGCTTTGTAATTAATTAACTAAACCCATGGAGTAAACATGTTTATTTCAGTGATTGAATTTGCTTATGTCATAACTTCCCCGCAGTAAAATGAATTTTGATTTATAATTATAATCTTATTAATGTAAAACAAATAATCACTTAAATATAAATTCGGACAATTTTTTTTTTTCAACCATTTATCAGAAAATGTATGATAACAGAATAAGGTAAATTATTTCAGTTTATGGTTAGGGTAGTAGGTAGACGTTTTTCTATTTTTCTTCGATATTTTCAACGGCCACGTTTCTAGCTACACCCAAACATGGGGCTCAGGAGCAGTTTTTGACCGGACCCAGTCGACATTTGGCATTACTTTCGTCCTTTGGTTGGTACCGGTACTCGTTGATATTCAACTTGCCGACTGTCGTAAGCTACTACTAGAACTTTTTTTCATTTTTCATATCAACTCAATCAAATCGAAGTCAGTTAAAAAGTATAGGCTTGCTTTAGTAGTATGATAATACTCTATCAAACCTGTTTATTTATTGACAGATTTAAAAATAAAAAAAACCCACTGGATGAATACTGTAGGTAAATTTGTATTTCTTGTACTATACAGTACTCATGAAATTGACTTCTTATTGAAGATCAGATATCCAAACACAAAATTGTATGGTACTGATACTGACATCTTCTAGTATGTCCTACAAGTTATTTAAGGACATATTATTCTATGACTATTCGCCCGACAATCGCAGCACTCGGTTGCATATATTGGTCATGTTGCGAGGAGGTCCAATATTCTCATTTAAAGAATTAAACTGAAGCAGAACGATCTCATATGTTGCTATAGTACCTGCGACCTGAAAACAACAATGCATTATTATTATACCTTCTTTCCCTAGATTGTGGTATGGTAAGCTGTGATATGGCAGGAAAATGCTATCAACTATTAAGAATGCCATCTTGCTCAATCGTTCAAAAAGCTTATGCTACTGTTCATAAGTTGTTTAACAGATAAAAACTTAGTTGAAATTCCATAAGTAATAAGTATCAAGAGCATGGAATGAATCCAAATATATTACGGAGATATTTATGAAAAATCCCTATATAACGAGAAATCTGACAAATGACAAATATCCTTACCGTTAACATAAAGGAACGATTCAGGGAGAAGAAATTGCAACCAGTGATGGCGATTTCATCATGAGTTGCCTGCATTTGAAATCTATAAATCTAAAAAATAACAAACATTATTTTAGCTACAAATGACATTATATGCTTCGAATTGTAACTTGTTATTTTAAGTAAATAAGTTTACATCGAACTTGACCTTGACGGAAAGAATAAATTAGCAGTTCAACATGGAAATTTTTTGTACATGAACAATGTTAGGTATAAAGAAAGTGATTCCATTTAATCTAAATAAGTAAAACGTATTCAGTAAAAAAAAAATACAAATTACATAAATAATATTTAACCTTGTACGCTATGAGTGCTACTATAGTAGCACTTTTTTTGTATGTATAAGTCATAGTAAAACCTGAACAATGAGTGGTTACCTATGTGGATTTTATCACATAGTATTTTTATCATTCGTGTTGCAAGGATTTTATTTGGGTAATCATGATCATAAAGTAACCATGTTGGATTCAGAATTTAATACAGATATAATAAAAGTATAATAGTAAAGGATTTGATCAAGATAGTGTGAGGGGATAGATTCAGGGGTGTGATGGAACCATCCCAGGAGCCCTAAGTCTGTATTCGGTTTAGGAAAACGGGAAAGATAGTTCAGATCAATAAGTCTGTTTCAAAGGGACCAGACAGTTCCATAATAAATATTTAACTAGATTAGATACGCTCATCATCACCATGCTAGTACGGCTCGAGTTACTCTATGGGAAAGTGGTTTGCTTGTATATTTCTAACAAGAGAGTAGACTTTTTCGATTACTCTTGCAGAAGAGCATAACTACTAGGATGACTCTAGAAGGTGAGCGGGATGATTGGGTTACTCTACATATTAGTAGGGAATGGAAAAGGTAAGCGGTCTGATCGGATCTCTCTAGATGGTCCAATGACTGACTAAAGGGGTGGGCAAACAACCTGTCTATTGCTGTTTCCGGTGCACTTGAAGGCACCTACTGGGATAGTATTCTTCCCTGAACTGATGCCCGGGAACATCATGTAGTGAAAAACCCCCACAATAATGTTCTGGATCTCTCTAGCATATCAGCGGACGAGAATGCTTCAACTTCTTTAGCAGGTAAGTGGACGAGGCTTCATCTATTTATCTAGAAGGTATCTGGACTAAAATTATCGGATTACTCTAGCAGGTAGAATACTTTCCATTGCTCGCAGCGTTGACAACTTCTCCCAATACGCGCTTAGAGGAACCGAGTGATGACTGACTTGTCTCGTCGACCGAGCAACAATTGACTTTCAACTTACTTCATGATTGTACGATGACTGACCAAAGTGATATTCTTCTTCACTTATTTTAAAACTTTGCTAGACAGACAAGTCTAGCAAATGGGTGTGTGTCCCATTTCCACTAAACATCTTCACGCCCCCTGGACTTGTTTTCTTCCACCGAATTTATAATTTTCTTCTATGAACTGGTGCGTGGGAACACTTTGTGCTATATCTCACAAAATAAGGTGATTTACATATGTTTTAGTACAAAGTAAGGTAGCTCACAATAAAAATATTATTTTATTCAGCCGATTATCCACCCTTTAATATGTTGATGACAAAAAATGATTCCTGGAAAACTGGTAGACATTATGGACACTACAGTCTATAGTTGTTGGTTGACTCACCTCTCCATTGTAAGCATCACTTGGGACCGAGTATAGCATGGCCAAGGGTCGCCTGCTCTCCTCGTGTACTGAGGACGCCATCAGAGCTGCCAGGAACGTCCGAGTGAGTGTGAAAAGCAGCGAGTACATCATAGATAGGTTTGACCATATATTGTTGTCTGGACTGCACAAAATTAATTTTATATGAATCGTGTTAGTTTAACTCAGAGTAACTAATATCAAGGGATTTAGATTTCTTAGAACGTAACTAAAAGATATTTCTAAGCGCTTAAAGTATGTGTAAAATATTATGTTACTTAATATTGTACACAAAGATTAAGTTTTCAAAAAGATATTTAAAATTACCTTATAATTCTCAGGAGTAGAGAGCATATATGGTACAGGTTTGCACCAAAACACACCAGAGTCATCCAGGATAGGTGATTGTCGAGAACCTTGGTGAGGCACGCCAGACTGTTGTACAGCTCCCTCATCTCTACCCAGTAGGTGACTGGTAACCTCTGTAAAACACATCACTCTGTAGCGGTTACGCACGCCAGTCTGTTGTACAACTCCCTCATCTCTACCCGGTAGGTGACTGGTAGCCTCTGTAAAACACATAACTCTGTAGCGGATACGCACGCCAGTCTGTTGTACAACTCCCTCATCTCTACCCGGTAGGTGACTGGTAGCCTCTGTAAAACACATCACTCTGTAGCGGTTACGCACGCCAGACTGTTACAACTCCCTCATCTCTACCCGGTAGGTGACTGGTAACCTCTGTAAAACACATCACTCTGTAGCGGTTACGCACTCCAGTCTGTTGTACAACTCCCTCATCTCTACCCAGTAGGTGACTGGTAGCCTCTGTAAAACACATCACTCTGTAGCGGTTACGCACGCCAGTCTGTTGTACAACTCCCTCATCTCTACCCAGTAGGTGACTGGTAGCCTCTGTAAAACACATCACTCTGTAGCGGTTACGCACGCCAGACTGTTGTACAACTCCCTCATCTCTACCCGGTAGGTGACTGGTAACCTCTGTAAAACACATCACTCTGTAGCGGTTACGCACGCCAGTCTGTTGTACAACTCCCTCATCTCTACCCGGTAGGTGACTGGTAGCCTCTGTAAAACACATCACTCTGTAGCGGTTACGCACGCCAGTCTGTTGTACAACTCCCTCATCTCTACCCGGTAGGTGACTGGTAACCTCTGTAAAACACATCACTCTGTAGCGGTTACGCACGCCAGTCTGTTGTACAACTCCTTCATCTCTACCCAGTAGGTGACTGGTAACCTCTGTAAAACACATCACTCTGTAGCGGTTACGCACGCCAGACTGTTGTACAACTCCCTCATCTCTACCCAGTAGGTGACTGGTAGCCTCTGTAAAACACATCACTCTGTAGCGGTTACGCACGCCAGACTGTTGTACAACTCCCTCATCTCTACCCGGTAGGTGACTGGTAACCTCTGTAAAACAAATCACTCTGTAGCGGTTACGCACGCCAGTCTGTTGTACAACTCCCTCATCTCTACCCAGTAGTTGACTGGTAGCCTCTGTAAAACACATCACTCTGTAGTGGTTACGCACGCAAGACTGTTGTACAACTCCCTCATCTCTACCCGGTAGGTGACTGGTAACCTCTGTAAAACACATCACTCTGTAGCGGTTACGCACTCCAGTCTGTTGTACAACTCCCTCATCTCTACCCAGTAGGTGACTGGTAGCCTCTGTAAAACACATCACTCTGTAGCGGTTACGCACGCCAGACTGTTGTACAACTCCCTCATCTCTACCCGGTAGGTGACTGGTAACCTCTGTAAAACAAATCACTCTGTAGCGGTTACGCACGCCAGTCTGTTTTACAACTCCCTCATCTCTGCCTAGTAGGTGACTGGTAACCTCTGTAAAACAAATCACTCTGTAGCGGTTACGCACGCCAGTCTGTTGTACAACTCCCTCATCTCTACCCGGTAGGTGACTGGTAGCCTCTGTAAAACACATCACTCTGTAGCGGTTACGCACGCCAGTCTGTTGTACAACTCCCTCATCTCTACCCAGTAGGTGACTGGTAACCTCTGTAAAACACATCACTCTGTAGCGGTTACGCACGCCAGTCTGTTGTACAACTCCCTCATCTCTGCCTAGTAGGTGACTGGTAACCTCTGTAAAACACATCACTCTGTAGCGGTTACGCACGTCAGTCTGTTGTACAACTCCCTCATCTCTACCCAGTAGGTGACTGGTAACCTCTGTAAAACACATCACTCTGTAGCGGTTACGCACGCCAGTGTGTTGTACAACTCCCTCATCTCCACCCAGTAGGTGACTGGTAACCTCTGTAAAACACGTCACTCTGTAGCGGTTACGCACGCCAGTGTGTTGTACAACTCCCTCATCTCCACCCAGTAGGTGACTGGTAACCTCTGTAAAACACATCAGTGGTTAGACTTGCGTGTGCTTCAAAAGTACTTCTTTAACAATTGTGCGGAACATGCGGATACCCATTGTTTTAATATCATTCTTTTAAAACCAGTTCATAAAAGACAAGTAGCTTTTTGATTTACGGTACGCGCAGTAGAAATATGTTTCTATTCTTAGGCTTGTACTGCCAGTTCTCGAAAAATTTTGTTTTTCCATATAAACACTGTTTATTAAAATTACATTCTTGGTAAATTTAATGAGTTTATATCCATCAAAAAGCAGTCTACAACAATCATTTATGGACAAAGGAGACGATATAAATTTAAGCATATTGTGTTGAGCACAAATTACTAACGTAGTAACAAATTCGTGTTGAAAAATAATTGTATTATTGCAAATTGTTTGCCTTTTGAGTTGAGCTTAAAGGTAATAGGTTTAAAAATATTATCTTATTTTTTAAGTCATAAAACATTTTGGGAACAAATCATTTGAGAGGTATGTATTACAACAATTTTTTTATGACCAGTTGATTTTCGATTACACGTTTTACTCTAATTTAGTCCAAATGTTGTGGCTACAGACAGATATATGCAGCCACGTATATTTATAATGTGTTCTAGAGATACCTAAACATCACAGCGGTGCCAGAGCTATATTATAGAACCATTGACTACACCCTCAATAGATTGCACCACATGTTTATGCTTCAACATTTTACATTAGAGGGAAAGTCTATTATGTGTAAAGTCAATGATAGAAATAAGTGTCGTTACCATTGTACCTGATCTTTGGTCCTGTTCAGTTGGTCATTAAGCTGACGGAATCTGATGTATAGACAGTAGGCAAATATAGTGATGGTTAGCTCGTCGTAAACAATGAGCAAGTTCTGGTGAATAAACATCCACACGATGACTAACATCTTGCCGACGGAGTAGCCGATAAGAGACAGGAGGGTGACGTACTTGGCGATGAACGCCAGCTTCAGAAGCTCGAATAAGTTGTCCGTGCAGTGTCTCATTGTAGTCAGAGGTCCCAAGATACGTGTTATGATCAAAACTGGAAAATGTCGTTCACTTTGCGTTTACATTAAAAAGGTATGAGTTATGATGTGCAGATATAATTGGCTTACTGCTGAGTTATTTATTTTGACAAGTTTTATTTATTGATTTTCTTTTTTATAAAATAATAATAGTGCATAACTATGTACATTTGTGGAATTTTAATCAAATAAATCGAAAATAACAGAAGGCAATATGAATTATCATAAACACAAAATATAAATGTAAATAAATGGTCGTATAATGCTACATTTTTTACAGAAAAAAAATTCAGTTTTTTTCTGTTTCATGTCACTAGTTTTAGAAATATTTATAGTAAAAAATGTATTTAATATGCCTTTGAAAATCACTAATCAAAAATGTGCACTTATGCAATAAACTAAACCCTCTGCGTGCATATTTACCCACAGTCGCTAAACAAAACGCAATCAAATAGTAGTAGACGTTCCTCCGTAGGTTGATGGTGCGATGGAAGTGCCTCATCCTCTGCTCCACCTTCATCCACTCTACCATCAGAACCGGCCACGAGCGAGCCTGGCCCAGGAATATGGAGATCTGGACAACCGTCAGCAGTATGCTGAGCAGGTCGTCTACAAATACAGTTAATCAGTGATTAATTACTCCTATAGAAAGGAGTGCAGGCATTTTAGGATCTTAGGCATGTAGGCATAAACAAAAGTTGCTGATTTAAAAAATACTCTTCACTGAAGCCTCGGGATGTTAAGACAATAACCCTGCCCATTCGTTGATCATCATAGTGTAACTAAAAACTGTTGGTCATTTGAGATTTAACTCTAAAATCCAGCTGATTACATTCATTTCAAATCTTTCCTTGGTTCAATGGATTCAATATTCAAATTTAACACATCACTGAGAAGGAAAGTGCGTGTGGATCGACTGCTACATAATCATTTGTTTACTATGAGTTATAATATTCGGTAAACCGTAACATTAATCATGGCATTTGCTCTGAATGTACAAAATCTTCTGCATGATGTTTCCAAACAATGCCAAACCAACGCGCAAATAACGCTTTATAGCGTAAGTTATGTAATATTATTAAATGTCCTGGCGTTGTTTCCTTATGCAAATGATCTTGTTTTGTTCGAGATCAATCATATGCGGATCTTGATTTCTCCCTTAAAAATCAACGACATTTTAAAGACCTAAATTGTTCTCTAAAAGGTAATTAGTGTACCACCTGTCCTATTACTCCGTTGAAGAAGGTGCGGGGCATTATGGATAGGTTTGGCCTAGGGTGTCAAAGATTATTATCCGGCCCCGACATAACTACAGAACTATTTAACTGACTCACCAACACTGCGGTAGTTAAGCCCGTACAGTATGATAGAACTAGACATCTGCAAGACTGCCACTCCAGTAGCCAGCACCAGCACTGCCAACACGTACATAACTCTCTTGGCCTTCCATGTGAAGCTACACATTACGTAGTATCAGTGATCAACATAACTGAACCAAAGTATCTCACGTACAGTATGATAGAACTAGACATCTGCAAGACTGCCACTCCAGTAGCCAGCACCAGCACTGCCAACACGTACATAACTCTCTTGGCCTTCCATGTGAAGCTACACATTACGTAGTATCAGTGATCAACATAACTGAACCAAAGTATCTCACGTACAGTATGATAGAACTAGACATCTGCAAGACTGCCACTCCAGTAGCCAGCACCAGCACTGCCAACACGTACATAACTCTCTTGGCCTTCCATGTGAAGCTACACATTACGTAGTATCAGTGATCAACATAACTGAACCAAAGTATCTCACGTACAGTATGATAGAACTAGACATCTGCAAGACTGCCACTCCAGTAGCCAGCACCAGCACTGCCAACACGTACATAACTCTCTTGGCCTTCCATGTGAAGCTACACATTACGTAGTATCAGTGATCAACATAACTGAACCAAAGTATCTCACGTACAGTATGATAGAACTAGACATCTGCAAGACTGCCACTCCAGTAGCCAGCACCAGCACTGCCAACACGTACATAACTCTCTTGGCCTTCCATGTGAAGCTACACATTACGTAGTATCAGTGATCAACATAACTGAACCAAAGTATCTCACGTACAGTATGATAGAACTAGACATCTGCAAGACTGCCACTCCAGTAGCCAGCACCAGCACTGCCAACACGTACATAACTCTCTTGGCCTTCCATGTGAAGCCACACATTAGAATCTTTAATTAACTACACTTATTGACAGGTATTATAAGCCTGACATGATTGAGGTGGTAGATAAAAAATCTATAAGCTATTAGTTTTAAATACTGTAAATTAGTAGTTATACTATACTAGTATTGCTTTCATAGCAGTGAAAGCCAGTTGAGTTGAGCGATAATGTTTCATAGTTTTTAATAAAGCAATAAATCAGAACAATGTTTATAGATATAAACTATTTCATCAATTTAACTTATCAGTTTGTCTCAGAACTTTCAACATCTATAACAAGTTTCATAATTAAAGATGTGGACATTACTACATACATATAATTTGTATCGGCATTTTTTCTATGTTTGCTAGGGCTAGGTAAATGTCATCTGGTGTGATCTGGTGCACCCATGGTATTTGGATGGAAAGAGGTGTGATACTCCCGTTATAGGCTGACGTCACCCAGATTGCAAACAGAAAATCACTTGATTGTAACTGTCATAAGTATATATTTGTTTTAATTTGACAACAATTCGGTATTGTTTTATTTTTTTATCTTGTTTACGTCCGCCTATAATGGGAGTATCACACCTATGTTTTATCCTCACACCATGTGGTGCACCAACTGTTCAGGTTGATCCCAACCAATCGCCATTTTCTCAATCTTGGCCAGATTTGGCCATTCATGCAAAAATAAACCTGCAAGGATTAGCAGATGTAATTTTTTAAGACCTGCCTGCTTTGAGAGAGAATTTAGTGAATAGTTTTCACTTTTCCTGAGGTCTTTTTTCTTAAATTTAGTACAATAAACATATGAAAAACATTAATTGTTTTCAAGCAAGCATTCTACATTCAATTAGCTCAATATATTGCCAGAAGTAGTCCATTGCTCGTCTTCATTTTCTTCAAATATCAGGCAGGTTTTGAGAATGCATTCTTAAAATATGTTCCATAATAAGTGTTCATAAGTGAATTATAAAACAAAAACGCAGTTAACTACTTCAGGCTTTCTTACTTGGGCAATTATCAATACAACATGACGGTCAAGTGTGTTGCCAAAACGATACTATCACCAAAAATATTTCAAATTTTACAATAGGTTGGAAAGTATAAAATGCGACGTATAAACTGAGTAGTAGACCTCGTGTTTTGTTGATAGTAGGATTGTCAGCCAACTTACATAAACATTAATTTAACAAAATGATTTATTAGTTAAAATTAGCTTTAAAAATAGTATGTATAACTCCCATTTACATAAAATCAATATTGTATTTGTGATCATGTACATGTGGTTATATTAAAGTCGACATTGGCACACTTAAACGTTTACACATTAAATTTTACAATACGTTTAATTGCAATGGTTAAAGTAAATAAAAAGACCGGATCTTCATAATAGCATATTAAGATCAAAATATTGATCTGGTAATACCTAGTTATTTGAAACTCCTGATTTATGTAGTTGCTTTAATTCCCAATTACATAAGATACATATCATTTGTTATGACCTAATTATTTAGATAACATAAATAAAATCTGTAAAATACTGTACCTACTCGATCAGTGGTAGTTTCCAAATTGCGTGCAACACTTTCTCTGTATTATTTTTTCTGTGGTAATCATCGAATGTTTATCCTTTGTACTGTGTTTAGGTCGAATATTGGTTTGATTTTAAACATAAGCTTTGATTATTTGTTTGCTTTAAATGTAATAACGTTGAGTTACTTTTAAATTATATAGGCGTTATCAAAAATCTAAATTCTTTCGTCATACCTTCCAAACAATTGTCAAATTCACATTGGTAAGTTTGGTAAAAATATTTTCAGCCAATAATAGCCTAGGCAAATTAGCCAAAAAAAAGAGCTATAGCTCCTAAAAATTTAGGGAAAGATGGAAATAGTTTTTAGTCTGCTCCGGAGATCCTAAAAGAGTTAAAAATGAGTTTGCGACGGATTCTGAAGTGAGCTAAGTGTCTGTTATCGAAGGAGGCAAAAAAAACTAGGCCGATTTTGCTCATTTTTGTCATTCGCTAATAACTCAAAAAGAGTACATCCCACAAACGTGTCTGCATACTTTTCTAAAGAACATTAAATTCCGTGACGAATGACGTTAAAATCAATAAAAAGTGTTTCAGTCGTTCTGCTACAAAAGGTCATCAAAGTTCGGTAATTTTAACATTCTCCTTGTCATCCTATTCTTAATGGGGATAGCGTGTTCCACCAGATGGCAGTAAATACTATAGTTTTCCGTTAAAATTACTATAATTTGACGACCTGTTGTAGGAGAACAACTTTACCGATTTTAATGATTTTAACGTCATTCGACACGGAATTTAATGTTCTTTAGAAATGTATATCCACTTTTTTGTGAGATGCAGTGTTTTTGAATTATATGCGAAAACTAAAAAATGAGCAAAATCGGCCGTTTTTTCCTTCCATACACTTAGCTCACTTCGGACTCCGTTGCAAACTCATTTTTAGCTTATTTAGGATCTCCAGATCAGATTAAAACGATTTCCAGCGTTCGCCTAATTTTTAGGAGCTACATGTCTAATTTGCCTGGGTTATATTGAGTGATAGAGTTAGAAAGTTTGCATTGAAGCCGATCCCAAAGAGTTTCGCTTCGCTCCGCTCAATTAATCTTATAATCATATTAAACGCCCATTCAAATTATTTTTAT